ATCACACCGACTCTTTTCGTTTGATTATTGTTGTCTTTTTCTATAAGAGAAGTGCAGTATTTTGCAAAAGATGTATTTATCAACGCTATACTTTGTCACGGGTAGTAGGAAAGTATGATTTGAGGCTTCAGTTTCAAATTTTGTGTGGACCTTTTCAGTCTTTTAGAAGTAGCATTTACTATTTGGCATTGAATTTGCTGGCCTTATTGTTGATTTGGATAAAACCCACTTTTGAGTGACTCCATCACTGATGTAGACACTGCTGGAAGCCAGAAGATGTTCTTAATCCCGAAAAGTTCATGTCCTAAATGGTAAATTTCTTTTCGTTGGCTAATTACTCCTAAAGTCCTCGATAGTAGCTGTAGAATTTTGAAGATTGAGAAGTTCTGCCGTAAGAAAGTCCTTGTTGCCTTATCCTTGCATCATTAACATGTTCTGAATGGTAAATGTTGGGTTCACCGGATAATTACTATTCTAGCCCTCGATGGCTTACATGTAGGCTTTCGAAGATTGATAGTATTAGAAAAGCCTTGTTTCTTTGCCCTTGGATTATTAACATTTTCTGAATGGTAGTTGTCATGTTCGTTGGCTAAGTACTACTTTTGCCCTCAATGGCGTAGCTGTAGATTTTTAAAGATTGAGAAGTGTACGTCATAACAAGATTCTTATTGCTCTGTCCTCGGATCATGAATGGTCTGTATTGTGCGTATCGATAAACAGAAATGCTAAGCCCCCCTCACAATAGTGGGGGCCCCACCTTTTTAGGGGCCGGTCGGGGATAAAATACCTTCTCGATACTCATAGCATTTCTCGTCGATAAAATACCTTCTCGATACTTATAGCAGTTGTTCCCTCTAATTGTACTTGGGGAGTAGTACTCTTAGGACACATTTGAGGGGAAGATTTCATAGCACTAGACGGTACTTAAAAAAAAATGCTAAAATTTTATCATTAGGTAGTGCCTTTCTTCATGTTTTGAACACTTTGTTCGTGTGGTTGCAGCATCTTTCCACTGATGGCACTGCAGTTGCAATGTTCCGATGTATCCCGTTCATGACTTCGTTTGGACCGTTCATTTCGACATTACAAATGCAAGTATCAAGTGATCCAAGGGATGATTTTATTGAAGTCTTGTATACGGACAACTAGCATGCACTAGATTAAGTCCATGTTCCATCTCCATATTTTAAAACTCATTTTTCTCCTCCAAACTCCTTTCCCGTTATACATTTTAAGGGACCCACAATTTTTATCAACTTTATAACCACACGCATCATCGAACTTTTATCAAAATCTATTATAAATATTATCTTTATGTACACTGAATAGGGGCTAAGTTTCCTCATAGAAATTGTACAAACAAAATCATGTTTTCTGATCAATTTAAGTCCTCCAATCTTCATAACACTGCATGGTTATTGAATGTTGATGGTTTGGTTGATTAAGTTTATGAGCTATCATTTTTCTTGATATTCTCTGAAGAATATCCCGTTGTTTACTCCCCTCCCCACACCCTCAACAAAAAAGGAAAAAAAAAAAAAAAGTCAGGATATTTGCGCATGCTTGTAATTGACGTGACAACGGAGAAATATTTTGTACTTTTCGTAATTATACCCCTTTCGGCCCGTATTTGACAACCATACTTTTGCAAAAAAGAATTTGAAATGATGATTTTTAGGAGAATGTGTGATTAAAAGGTAGAAAATTTTTTTGAGTTTACGTAAAAATTATTTTATTGTATGAATGTGTGGTTAAAAATGAGCATGTAAAAAAAAAAAAAAAAGAATTTGAAAAGTATGATTGTCAAACAGGGGCTCACAATATTAAACATGACGTATATGTCTTTTAACTTTAAGAATCAGTCCAAGCTTCAATAAACAAAAAATATAGATTTTTCCAAAACTAGATTCATTCTTAATATTTCAAATATTAAACTTGATTGAAAAAATAATACCTTGATAATAAGAGGGCAGATTATGTACATCGCAAGTGCAAAATACACAATTATCACCTATTTATACAGAGGTTGTACGTTTGATACATTGAACTGAAAAATAAGATAAATATTTTCGAATTTTTCTTTCTTAATCTTAGGGATGGCAAAAAAACTCGTTCAACCCGATATCTGTGAATTCGGGGAGAGGATTACCCGCCTAATCGGGTAAACGGGGCGGGGACGTGACGATGGTCATTACTCCGAAGCGGGTACGGGAAACATAGTCCCCATCCCGTTTAAAATTTATTTCAAATATAAGTTTTTTATTGAACAAAAATAATAAATTTATCATTATTTTTAAAGAGAGTATAAGTTGCTTTTAACTAATTAGTAAAAAAGTAATAATATTTACTAACTAAAGATATAAAAAATAAAAGTAAAAATAAAAATAAATAAAGAGAAAAAATAAATGGGGCTATAAATGGGGCAATAGGTTTGCCCGCCCCGTCTCGCCTTAATCGAGTATGGGATGGGACAAAGTAACAAAAATAGCCGACGGGACGAGGTGGGAATGGCCACGTTGCTAATCTTATCTCAGCAATATTGTAGAGAGCCCTCTCTCTCTCTCTCTACATTTGCGACAATTATTATGTCAACAGGGGATACTAAACAACAAAAATGGCGTGCAATATGATTGGATAGAAAGTAAAGAAGATGATGATCATTAATGTCAAGGATTGATTGTTATCCACACATCAAAACATATTGAATAATTTGTCACGCTTTCGATTTTTGTCATTTATATAGCATTCGAATTGACTGAAATTGCTGATCCTTAATTTTATCCAATCACGAAGAAAATGAACCTTTTGTTTACTTTATTTTCGACAAATTAAGTTTTCTTCGTCCAAAAAAAAAAAAAAAAAGAATTTCAAGGAAATGGATCGAGCAATAATAACTCGACATCTTTTAGACAAATTTAAATTGAATTCATATAGTTAGTGAGAAATCTACTATAAGATCTAATAGAACGATTTTTTGATAAAAAAATGTTCATGCATTTATGATCGTAAAATATGATTGTTAGATTTTAGAAAAATATTTCTACCTTGATAAAACAAGTCATTCTAAATATTAAATTTAATATTCAATGGAACTCTTAAATTTCTCCTTGCATGATAAATTCAAAATTAACTACATGTATCCTCTTTCAATTGTCCAAGATTTTTGCTACACAAACATAATACTTGACATAGGGGATGACACAACACACACATGAGAGATGACAGCATTATTTAATTCAGGTATGGAACCACATGCATTGTGAGAGGTCGTTAACCCCTATATCAAACATTATGTTCATTTAACTTAATTCATTGTCCAAACATGATATTCTAAATTTACACGTGAAAAGTAAAAGCGAAGAGGTTGTTTAGTTAAGTTTAAATTTTTATTTTCAAAAGTAGATGTTATAAGTTACTTTCTTAAGTTAACTTTGACCAACAAAACAATTATGGATAATTGCAGCAGAAGTTCTAAATCTTTGAAACATTAGTAGCCTTTTCCCGAACTTTTGATTTGTTGCAGCCTTCACCCCTAACCTTTCCTAACGTTGCAGGTGAAGCCATTTTGGACAGTTTCCATCCATAATTCTGTCAGTTGATCAAAAATTTGACTTTGACCACATTTTTAATATTTTAAAAGGGACTAATTAGTAATTTCCCATTTAAAACATTAAATAATTAAATAATAACACACACACACACGCACACACACACACACAAAATCGTAGTATAAGTATTTTTATCAAGATAAGGTAGATAAATCCAAAACATAGACACGTAAATATGGGGGACGTAGATGACATTTAAGGATTGAGTTTCGCCTCAATCAAAACACCCCTAGGTTGTCCTGTAGAGAGTTAATTGTGTGTATTCGCATAACCCAAGTATTGATTACAATTAGAAATTCATATATGGGTTGAGTTCAATTTCAAGCGTATTGCCTTTCGCCTTTGCAAAATCTCATATGGGTTTTTGCTTTCCGTGGTTAGTTTCTTTTCCTTGCTTGGTTAGTGTGAAGGTTTTCAACTTTTTTATGGGTTCTTGCCTTCCGTGGTTAGTTTCTTTTCCTTGCTTGTTTTGTGTGAAGGTTTTCAACTTTTTTTTCCAGAATTTTCTACTTTTTGTTTTTACTTTTTTCTCGGTAGTATTTATTCGATGAGAAGTACTGAATCCTCTGTAAAATCGTGAATTAGAGGAACGGTAAACGTGTTTTGATTGGAAAAAAGATTGAGTTCTGGTTTTTATGTTTGTTTTTCTGATATAAATACATGGTTTTAACAGAAAATAAATAAATAAATAGATCTTTGAACGTTTAAGAGGAAGGGTTTTGGGTGTGGATTTTGGTCTTGAGGTGGGCGTGGGGAGGGTTGAGAGGAAGGTGACGTTTTGTGTGTGTATATATTTTTTTCTTTAATTATTTAATGTTATAAATGAAAAATTATTCTTTTGCTCATTTAAAAATATTAAAAATATGGTCAAAGTAAATTTTTTGGTCAACCGATAGAATTATAGATGTAAACTGTCCAAAAGGGCTTCACTTGCAATATTTGAAAATGTTAGGGGTGATGGCTGCAACAAATCAAATGTTTGGGAAAAGTCTGCTAATATTTAAAATGTTTGGGGTTTTTGCTACAATTATCCCAAACAATTATAAGTAAATTCTATGAGCTAAGGCAAACATGGACGTAATGAGGTGGACACAGGATCTCATGGGGCAGTGGGGAGATTCTGATGCTGATTGTTGACACTGAATAAGAAAGAGAGAGAAATGGGATATGAGTGGTGGACTGCATCGAGTCCAGAGAACCCAAAAAAGATCACGAAAAATCTGTGTTCAACTTTTGATTTTTTCTTGAGGAAATTCTCAACTTTTTACTCTTTAAATACCACCAACCCACATTAATACATTCAAAGTTTTTGGCCTATTTTTTTTTTCAGTTTTCTTATACTTCTGGTGTGTGTGCGCGCACATATTATTCTTATAATCAAGAAATTAAGAAATGGAAGTTGATGGTTCTTCAACAAAGGGCTTGTTAAATCATATTGAAAAACCCCATGTTTTAGCTGTTGATGACAATTTAACTGATCTTAAACTTGTCGAAACGTTGCTCAAGAATTCCTCTTGCAAAGGTACTAATCTTTTTAATCTATCTTTTCATATGTGTTGTTATTGTTTTCATATTTTAGCAATTTTGATGTTAACATGTCCCGCCTAATTATACGGTTGCTCGTTTGAAAACACCAATACTGGAAATCTGACTACTCATCATTTGAGTTTTGGGCTCTGATACGATATTGATTCTTGTAGTGCTGTCTCGAAATGTCAACTTTGTCGAGAGAAGTACGCCGTTATCGAATTAATCCACATTATATATTCTAATCATTTCGTAATTAAGCATTAGCGTCTCTTCAAAACCCTCGCATAATGGATATTTGTGTTTGTTTAACTGTCTTGAATCATTTTTCTTGGCTTCAAATATTTCTTTGAACGAGTGTCTCGGTCCAGGTGTGGTTGATCGCCCGAAAAGACCAGCTAAGCATCAAGGGCTTGGTCTGCTATACATATACATATATATATGCAAATAGATAATAATTGATCAAATAATGAAAATTTTCATAGAAGAATTGTAATGCTAGTCATATATCAGGTTCAAAGTTAATTTTATGATTTTATTTCCCAGTGACTACTGCAGAAAATGGCTTGATGGCTTTGGAGTATTTGGGCTTGGGAAATGACAAACAAGGCTCTTTGAATGACAATGTGGGTGACTTAATAAGAGTTTTGTATTGTTACAATTGTTAGAGATATATTAATAAGAGTTTTGTACTGTTACAACTGTTAGAGATATATATCGTTTTACACATCATTACGCGTAAAATTCGTTAATGTTTTGAAAGTAAGATACATCCTGATCAAGAATCATCGACTCTGACGATAACGGGTCTGTCTGATTTTGAAAAGCATCCGAAGTAAGCTAGAAACTTCCCTTGTTAGGTCTACCTGAGCATTGCTCCAGTGCTTTGAGGCCGATTGGGGAATGGCGATGGAAAGACTGACAACCAGGGGTGTTCGTTCATTTTTGCCATCTTCAGTCAGATGATGATTTTTAGTCTCTATTCAGGAAGATTATTAGTAACTTTTTAAGAGGAATAGCGACGAGGACCACAAAATGTGTTCATAATTTCCTTACCCTTATAGAAAACCGTGTCATGTTCACGATGTTTAACTAGACAATACTCGACAGAATTGAGGAAGATAAAGAAGCTAAAATCTTATTCATATCAAACGCATGACAAGTTCGTTCACTACGACTTGAATTATTGTTTCCATATTCTTAAGTATGTACTTGTCTATGTTTATTTCTGAGCAGGGTTCAAAGGTGAATTTGATAATCACAGACTATTGCATGCCAGGAATGACTGGATATGAGCTACTTAAGAAAATCAAGGTAACTTAATCTTGATTTTGTGCTATTCGAAAATGTATGTTCTTTATAAATGGCTTTTTATAAGCAGGAATCATCTGTTATGAAGAATGTCCCCGTCGTCATAATGTCATCTGAGAACACACCAACTCGAATTAACAAGTAAACATCTGTACTTTATTTCTTTGTAGTTTGTGTAAATCGATGAGTTTTTTATGAATCAATGTAAACTATAAAATTGCTAGTGAATTCCTTATATGGCGACTTATCATACACGCTTTAAAGATATTAATATACGTACATAAACTTATCTGCTCATTAAAACCTTAAACTTTTGGACACAAAGTTGTCGTTGCTCATCTTTGATCTCTTACGATTTACGTTTATAAAATATTTAAATGACTAGGTGCTTGGAGGAAGGAGCTCATATGTTTATCCCAAAGCCTCTAAAATACTCTGATGTGAAGAAGTTGAGATGTCAGCTAATGCAATGGGGAAATTAAAAGCATATTCTTCAGGAGTTTTGGTATAGCATGCACCTTCTGATATATATAGATTAAAATGAGAACTTTTAACACATTAAATATGTTCTTAAGTCATGTTTGGATGTAGCAGGCAATTTTTGAGCTCAGCATTTACATCAGCTCATTTGTATGAGATCAAATGTTGTTTTCTCATGTAAATTGCGATTTCTTGTATTAGCCAATGTTTAATACCAAACATGGGGCATTAAAAGTGGAAAGTGGAATCTTCTTTTTTACTGAAGAATTTTCATTACATTCTTATGCTTTGTTCATTTTGTCTATGTCCATGTATTTTGTACCTCAGATATTTGTTCTATATACGTAGTAGTAGCAATGGATGATGTGTCCTCATCTGAACATAGCGAGTGCACGCACAAGACCTTGTCCTTTTCTAAAAATTAGCGGGTGTACGAAAGTAGTGCCTGGACCAATCAAGAGATTAGGGATGTTAAGTGCCAGCTCGGTCCACACAAGAGCTCTCCATAGCCTTGCACAAATGCAACAATTGTCATTTCAAGCAACCGTTGAAACTTCAAATTTGAATTTTAAATTTTTTCCTTCATATTTTAGATTTTTTACATGACGATTTTGCTTATAAGATGACAGTGCCACTGCCTTCAATTTTCACACAATTTGTGCTCTCATCACAAATTCTCTAAATTTCTTATTTTGATTTATTCTCTCTCGTGCTACAAGCTATCTCACTCACTCCTGTAGAGGGAAAGGGCCAAGACCCAAGTGTGGTTGGAGAGATGCCTACCCCTTTTTTTTTGGAGGTTTCATAATTTGTTTGGGGTTAGAATTGTTATAATATATATAAAAAAACAGGCTTTCACAATCTAATCTCTACGTCTATATTTTCGATTACATTATTATACCACGTAAGTTATAAAATGGCTAACTCATCTTCTTTAAACAAAAATAATTATTTAGTTGTAAACTTCCAAGGATATGACGAAAAGGCCAATTGTGTTATGTCGTTTAGAAAGATGAAAGAAGAAAAGTTATTCTTCATAAGCTACAGACGTAATATGTGTTTAGTCATTGATTCTGCTATTCCATTTACAGTAATCGATACGTATATTTCATAGCATTATATCTTGATGATGATAATTTGACTTTTATAAAAACTATTTAGTGTTAAAACACATTGCATCGAATGAACCTAACCGACACGTTGCACAAATTATTGCACACTTAAAAGATTTTAATTTGATTCATAAAGATTTAGCATATCTTGTATGCTATGTATGGTTAACAATAGTATTTTACAACATCTGCAACAATCTTTTTTTTTTTTTTTCTTTTTGTTCGGTAAGGGCTCGAAAATAATTTTTGTGCAAGTGTTTACAATCTACAATTTGGTTCTCATATAGTGGAGGGTGTATTAGAGAGTGCATAATCGAAAATATTGAGGCATAAACGGTGCTTTCACTACAATTTTCCTCATATTTCCCAAAATAGTATTGATGGAATTCAATTTCATTTCTTTTTTCACGTAGATTTTGAATAGAATTATAATAGTGATGATAAGTTCATATTATGCACTTATTTATGCTCTAATTCTTAATTATTTATTATTATTTTGAGCAAATATCTACTTAATTTTGTGTAAATAGGAGTAATTGCAGGTAACCCCAACTTAGATACAATCGACGTGAAAAAAGTGAAATTGGAGCAATTGATTATCAACTTGATTGCAATTGTTCAATACAAAGTATTAGGAGAGCAATCAGAGAGCTCACAAGTTTCCGGGAGTAAACAACGTTTGGAAAGTTTAGGGACTTAGTTTGTCACCCTCTACGTCTTTTGTGAACCATATACACCATCTTCTTTTCTTGACCTTCACTCCCTGAGCCAGATAGGTAGTCATTGGTGTGCCCTTGCCTTCCGCGCGTAGTTTTGCTAGGCATTTATGGATTGTCAACCCACATAAGGACTTTTGAAGATGGTCAGAAATTCTGGATAGGTTTTCGACTTCTTAATATATTTGGGGCCCTGTCTTTATTATTCTCTCAAAAGGGGTCGATTTTATAGCTAGTTGTTTATTCCAAGGCTATAAATGACATCTTCTTATAGAGTGGGGCCTGTAAGACCCTTTACCTGATTGTCTCATATTAATCGGCCGGTTCCTCTTCATTATGATGTCTTTCATCATTACTTTTAGACTCGTGTACTCGACAATATAATTATTTTCTGAGAAGTGTTACATGTACATAAATCTATACATAGTAGTGTCCATAATTACACGTAGCATTGGATTCAATCATTAATTCAAATCTCACACTTTCACACCAACAACAGAATTTTGTCAACATCACATTATGGACATTATTATGTACATGTAGATTTTTCCTTATTTTTTGAAAAAAAAAAAGAAGCTAAATGTACAGCATTTTTACACAGTAAGTTTGACAGCCCCCTCACATGAGTGTGGGGCTCGCGATTGTGGGCCCCACCCCCCATGTGAGAAGGCTATCAAAATGTACGTGTAAAAATGCTGCAGATGTAACATTTCTCTTATTTTCTGAAGTTGTGAGTGACATCCTTTCTAGTCTAATAGGCTTCGACTACCAAGGCATAAACACATGTCCCATAACACGTGGGCAAGCGATGAGATCATTTTCATGATTGACGTGATATCCATTTAGACCATAATTATTTCAATATGTAACATGTAATGTCACTAGTAATCGGCCATGATATTTTGCTTGCTATTGACGAGGAGCTGTATGTGTCAATAGCAAAAGTTATTGTTTTTTTTTAACCTTTTTAATAAATTACCAACAAAATGTATAGTAGGTAACATTTATAAATAAATCATAAGAATAATTAAATAATATACTAATTCTAGTAATATACCATGAGTATTTCTTCACGATATAAAATGTATTCGGCCTTGAAACTCATGTAATTGATTTACAATACCTTACTTAAATAATCGATCAAAGTTGATTAAACCCACTTGAGAGATCCATTTCAAACACTAAGCCCTTTTTTAGTTTAGCTAAATACCGTATTTTTAACAAATTTTTATAGAAGTTAATGAAACTTTTGATCGAAAATTTGATAAAAGTTGTGGGTCTAATTGAACGTGTGACCGAAAATGAATTTAAATAAAAATCAATTTTAAAAAATGGAGGCCAAACATGAACTAAATATCACTTTCTATTTCTCAAATGCATACTAAGAGCACCTCTAAGATACTCTACTTTTAAATTACATATTCTATAATTTAGAAATTATCTATAAATTCACACAGAGAATTTTAAATACTCCAATATACTCTTTATATTTAACACTTAATTACTACCCTCAAAAAAATATTTACTCCCTCCATCTCATTAATAAAGGCGAACTTTCCTTATTTTCTTGTCCTAATTATGTAGTCATGTTTCTTTATTGAGAATATTTTGTTTTATTCGTTTACTAATATACCCTTATTTAATTTGCCTAATTATAACAAATTTTCCACACTTAATTTTAAAATCGTACAAATATAAAGATACATATTAAAATCATCCAAATAATTTATGAATGTGAGAATTGAAAATTAAATCATTCAATTTCTTGACTACTTCCAACAGTAATTTACTACCAGTTGTTGATAATTAAATAAGGGTAAGCTATGAAAGTCTTTGGTAAAAAATATTTTTTCAATAACATTAAGTAAGATTTCTTAGTCCGTGTAAAAAACAAAATCAGCCTATATAAATGAGACGGATGCAGTATTATTTTTCCCGTATTTTATTTTCACTAGTTTTACTCCAAATTATTATATTATTTTTCTTCATTGAAAATTGAAATATTTTGAATGCATTTAATTATAGAGAGTGTGTTTAACTCTCCAAATTATAGAGTGAAACCCACTCTCTAAATTAAAATGTTAATTTAAAGTGTCTCTTAGAACATGATTATAAGAGTTGACTCTTTAAAATAGAGAGCATCTTATGCTTAAAGAATCTCTTGAAAATACTCTAATTTTTTAAAAATTGCACCTCGTTTCAATCTCTCATCCCCCATGGCCATGTTTCCTTCCCTTGTATCTCCCTCATCCTACGTCAACGTCTAGAGTATTAGTTCCTTCTCAAGAGACTCTTGAGTACCGAGAGGAGATGGGGGACATTGCAACTGATCTTCGCGTGCAATACCTGAAGAGGCGAAAAATAGTAGCACTTAGCTCATCCTAAGTAGACAAACTAAATAAAAAATAATATATAAACTAAAATTAAAAACAAGTTCGAATTAGTGTCTAAATAACAAAAATCAAACTAAAACTCAATCCTCGGCAACGACGCTAAAAACTTGTTCACGAAAATATGTTCGCTTTGTAAATCACCGCAAGTGCACGGTTCGTTAAAAAGTAATAAAGTGAAAATTATAAAATTTTGGAGTATTGTCCCACGAGGATTGATTTGATTTGATTTCTATTATCAAAACCTTAATCGAATCTATTAAGCTCAAGATGGTTGGTTATTTGGATTATGACTAAACTATGACTAAAATATGGCTAAAATGCAATTTAAGCTACTGTGACTAAATGAATGCAAAATTATATTGAATACAAAAGTTTGATGAAATTAATGAATGAAAAGCGTACTACGATCCCGAATCACCAAGCAAGCTCACTTTTAACCTCTATTTCACAATTCGATAATACGATGAATTGGTCGAAGATTCAATATTTCTAATTTATCCAATAATCTCTTTCGAGTAGAATTGAATATATTCTCACATACCTTTGATGACTATATTTCTATGACAAATGCAATATATAAGAATGCATGACGTTCTGTAAACACTTAGAAGTTGATATGTGATAGTACTTCCACTATATTTCATCCAATTTGCTTCTTTCCTTATCCAATTGATGTCCGCACTCTCAAATCTTTATCGTGAGATCGACACAACTTTTCAATAATTGCACTTGAATTCTCAAACTTTGATTGTACTTCATTTTAGTCTTTTTTCGCTTGTTTTTTTCGAATTTTCACCACGTTCATCATTGTTATCCTACAAAACAAAAATTACATCGAATTAAGCTATAATCCACATATTTATTAACAATTATCCTTATTTGGGCCTACAATAAGTGTGTAAAAAATGCACTTATCAGCCATGTTTCCTTCCCTTGCGTCTCCATCATCCTACTTCTACGTCTAGAGTATTAGTTCTTTCTCAAGGGACTCTTGAGCACCGATAGGAGATGGGGGACATTGCAAAGAAGAAATGAGAGCGACATGATGGGATGGGATGGGAGATGCATTGGATAAAATAATAAAATAGCACAAGCAGGGGCGAACACAGACATTTTGAGATAGGTGCACTATCAAACTTACAAAAAAGTTACGAGAAATTTTACAATCGAAAATTTACATAAAAAATAAAAATCAAACCCATATAATTTTACATCTGAAAATTTACGTGGAGTATATATGATCATCGGAGAATTTTTGAAGTTATCACGTTAATGAAATTCTCTAAATATTAGTTTGAAATGATCTACTTTGACGAGTCGTAACATTTGCTACGGTTGACTTTTTCGCACGCCATTAACGACTTAGGTCGTGAGCACTTCTAAATGGTATTAAGAAACCAATATTTCAACTTCATTTGGCATCCCATAACTCCTTCAAAAATTGAGACAACAAAAAATTTAATGATGTGAAAAAATTAAAAAATAAAAATTTGTCCCGGACCCCATGCCACCCGTGTGTCCGCCTGTGAACACAAGAATGGTACGAAATTAGAAGAGGAGTACTTTAAAATATTAATAAAACTAAGTATTTCTAGAGAAAATCCACAAAACTCGGGATAAATTTGAGATTCATAAGACGTTACTCATTCCAAATTTCGGCGGAGCATGCTATTGTGGGAATTTTCTGTTTCACACCAAACAAGCAGGAAAAATACCAGACAAACCTAAAAATCAACTGTTTTCACAAGCCAACAGGGCCAGTCGGCCAGATATGAAGATATATAATGAAATTGGGTTATAGATTGAAAGTCAGGGTCAGACACGATGAAGTCTTTAAAAATGGAAAAGAAATTTGGGCCATTTTTAATTAATTCATGTGGTGGCTGTAAATATTCAGTTTTAAATGAATTCCAGTTGAATAGTATACCCAACAGCAGGCACAAGATTTTGACCATTTATGAAAACACTTCTTTGACTTTCGGATTGAATGAGACAAAGTATGACTTCCAAAATATGCATAAAATAGTAAGACTATCGACGTACATCTTGACTAGCAAATGAAAAATTCACTGAATATGTATTAGAGAATTCTGAATATTCAGTAAAAATTGCTCCCACAAATTTCCTCTAAAGTCACCATGACGAATAAGATACATGAAAGATTTCACGTACTTTCGGAATGGCAGCATACAAGAAAAATTTGATACGAAGATCCTCATTTTATGAATTTATAACATTTGGTCCCCGACATTTATTTCTCAAAATCTACCCTTATTTCAATTTAAGGGTGGGAGAAATGAAGAGAAAGATCAGGAAGGGGAAATGGAATGGGTAGAAGCGAACCAGAGGAGGGGTTAGACATGGAACAAGATGAGATTGGTAGTAGGGAAAGTTGTTGACACGACGATAACAATTAATTGAAGACTAACTTGTTACAAATTTGAAAGGCTAATGTTGATGTCCGATCTTCCATCTCACTTTGGAGGGATTAGAGGATCGGAGGTCAAGATATAGGAAGGACGGATGCATGAAAATATAGATACAGTTCGAACAATGGCCGTTGTAATTGGAGGGCGCATCGTGATTCTTCATCATTGACAAACTGTCCTCACCTAAGCATCACACATTACCAGAATGACATGTGGCAACCGTGACATCAAGAGGTTGTGATCATGAAGAGAAATGTCGGGAAGGGGAAATGTAATGGGTAGAAACGAACAAGAGGATGGGTTAGACACATAACAAGATGGGGTGCTAGATAGTAAGGAAAGGAGCTGTCAGGACGATAACAATTAATTGAAGACTAACTTGCTACAAATTTGAAAGGCTGATAAGAACACAAAACTTGTGCATCAATAATCATTGTGCTAGCAAATTTTTTTACTAGAAGCAGCACAGCCCCAAAAGTCAATCAAAGGAAGATAGAAAGCTCCACGTAATTAGCTAGGTTTCCACTAACAAAATGGGGTCATGGACAGTTACACAGAAGTAACCATGCTAGAAAAACAAAAAATAGCCATGAAAAAATATGCAACATATCTGACTTCCAAGAACAAAAATTTCCAAATCCAGCTGAGACTTTAAGGGTTTAATGGCATAAAATTTTATTTATAAACAAATTTGAGATGAAACGGACGTTTATAAATCATATTTTCATATTTTGTTAGTTTCTGATTAAATTAACTGATAGATATAAATCAACTAAGACCCTGTTTGGTATAGATTAAAATTTTAACCACATATTTCATAGGATATAAAATTTTTTTAACAGCATATTTCATCCAATTTTATCAAAATTTACTAAAAATTTAATTTTGATCCCTATCAAACATGGACTAAATCGGTAGCAACTATAAAAATCAACATTTACTCTAATAATTAACAACTCAATCCTCAATTAACTAGTTTACTTCAACAAGTTAAAAATAACCATTATTTTTCAGGAAAATCTTCGAACACTGTTCACTGAGAAAATTCTTCATGGTCTCTAGAGGGCCAGCTTCTCTGTGGACTCGAGAATATGAAAATGTTCTACGAATTTGACCAATGACTTGGTCTTAATTTCATAAAGCTTCTTCCACTCGACGTGTTTAAGAAATGCAAATACTTTGAAAAAAAAATTCTATGCTTTCCAAAGAGACACTAACACAGAAAAACACTTCTTGATCATTTTCCTACACCCTTAAAGCAACATTTATATATATGTACCATAAACCCTTTCCAAATCCAAATTAAACGGCCTAAATCCCGGGAAAGAAAACTCGAAAAGCATGGAAGAAACCAAGCTATTAATGTTGTATGGATGTAAGTTGGCTAAAAATATTGAAGAAAATCTACCAAATTTAGCTAATCGACCTGGTATTCTTCTAAAATCATGTGATGGGATCATTGGAGTATTCAGTAACCTTAAAGAGTTATTGTCCCGCGGACAAATGATTTCTGGGCAGTCCCAGGAATTACAACAAACTGACAACATTGGTGCAGGAATTCAAGAATGGTTAAAAACTGGTGGCAAAAGTTATCATCAGGCAACGGATCTGCATAATCCTCAAGCAGTTTTGGGTAATCCGAGAACGCGTGGCTTCTCAGAAGGTTGTGCTAACCTGAAAGGTGTATTAGGACAGCAAGAATCAGGTTTAGAACTCATGATCAGTGGAATGAATGTGAAAAGTTTTGCGGGTGGCATTGGAGGGGAGATTATTCAGCCAGTGGATGTGGATGCATCAGGTTCCATCAGAGCTTCCTCTTCGCAATGCAAGAGAAGAAGGTAACAAATTTTCAGCTTGTAAAATGCTTATTGCAATGTTATTATTGTTGAACCACCAAAATAATCTAAAATCTTATGTCGTTTGAGAAGCTTTTAGATGATGGTTCAACATTCTTCGAATCAAATGTCCATGTTATTTACATATTTTTGAAAATTATACACGTGCCTTTTATGAGAAATCTAGTCGATTATATTAGAAAGTAATGTTTCCTTTTTTTAAGGGAAATTGAAATATTCACAAAATATACGGAATCGTGTATGACACAGTGTGTGAGTTTAGTTGTTCGTTAACACTCATTTAATTTTTTTTTTTTTTTTGATAACCGTGGATGTTCGAGCCAGCTTGCGCGCACCTCGACTAATTCCATGGAACCCTAAAGTTTTACGATCGAATACTCATCTCAGTGGTTATGAGGGAACTCGAAACACTCATTTTAAATTATGATTACAAAATAATGGCTTCTTATTTTTGATGATACAGAAAGGATGATGGTCATAAAATTAGAGTCATAAGGGTGGCCGCTCCACAAATGGGAAATCTTGATCTTCCACCAGAAGATGGTTATACTTGGAAGAAATATGGTCAAAAAGAGATTCTTGAATCCAGATATCCAAGGTAATTTTTTTGATAAATTCACTTCACAAGTTCTCAAAGTTTAAACTTTTTTAAAGTTTCAAAATATATTTATCATATGAGTATTTTTTTTTTTTTAATTATTATTATTAAAAACTCAACAAGGGCACAATTTTTACACAAGCATGGTAACTGGTGAACTCGAAATTTCGATTGCTTTTATACCATGTTCAATTATTTTATCTAAAAGTTTAAATTATTATAGATTTATTTAAATTTGTAACGAATGGATCAAATCTAACGAACTATTAATGAAATCAAATGGTTTGAAAGCGTCAAAGAATTCGTGTTTCTTAGTCATGTCATGGAGTACAAGTGGTGGTTCTATACAATGAGTCAATGACCATATGATTATTTAATTATAGTCCTTGATTTTTTACTTAAATTTTTTGAGACAGAGGCTGGTTCAAAAATAGCCAAATTGGTCTGTTTCATGAGAAATTCAGAATCAAGACGAATTGACCATCGTGCCCTCATGATAAATTGATATGACGATAGTACCCTAGGTTTCACAAACAAATTCAAGAAATTATTGATTAAATTCCAGGGACTAATTTAAATTTTTCTGTTTATAATTGTGTTTCTTCTTTTCAGGAGTTACTACTGTTGCACTCACCGAAAGTTCTACAATTGCCCGGCCAAGAAGCAAGTCCAGCGACTCAACCACGACCACTCGATGTTCGAGGTGACATATCGAGGTGGTCATACATGCCACATCTCGTCCACACCTCGTCCACCGGTAGAACAAGGGATGATTCGACCAATCGCCACCATGCAGCCACCTTTACCATGCAGCACTTCATCATCAGTCCTCACAACCCACTGGCTCTCAATGGACATCAAGCCATCAGTACTGGAATCCACAGCCACAATTTTCAATAAGCAAATGTTTCAAGAACTGGGCGGCGAAGGGACTGGCAGCAGCACGGCAGGGACATTAGCCTCCGGCCGTTTTCCCGACAACCAGGCGCTGCCGGTGGCAGATATGGCTAACACCATGTTTAATGGTGGTAGTAGCAGCAGTATTGGAATAGAGAATATCTTCTCTTCCATGGGGGATAAATGGAATTAATGCAGGAGAAAAGGAAAACTGATCGCGTAATCAATCATGTACCTTTGTGATATAAGAATATTAATCAGTTTTATCTTGTAGGTCAATGGCCTATGAATTTAATCATTGAATTGAAAGTAATAATTTGGGAGGCGAACCTGGATATCTGTACATTAACTAGATTTTCAAGAGATATACGTGGGGTTATAAATGATTTCCTACCCATGGTGGGTACAATATAACACATGTCCGCGATCAAGTCTACAATTTTTTACAATTCAACGTTGAATTGTCAAAAATTATAGGCCCACATTACTGGCGGACAAGATAACTCCTACCCACCATGGGGTGGAAATCATTTCTGACACTTAGGTTATTTTTATTGCTCATTTATGTAATACTAAGTTTGTTTTGGAGAATTATAATGAGATTTTAATGAAAAAGAGTAGTGAATCTCATTAAATGTATTTATAATAAGTAAATACTAATTATAAATGAGTGGTTGAAATTAATTTTTTATTTTTTATTGTAAATTATAAAGAATTATAATTTTTTACACATAATAGTGCTCTGGTTCATTATAAGTGTTGTAGTTTGATCCAAATTCTAGTGGGCATTGGAGTATTTGTTGAAATGATCTTGAAGAGATCAAGTTATGGTTCGGGGAGAAAAATCTCTGCATTTTTGCTAGCCGGCGCTAGAGCAGTGTTCGTGCGAAACCATCAAGCGTACGTGGTCGTTGACAAATAATACGTGTATCGTCACACGTGAAATAAAATTCAATCAAGTGCACTAGTTTCTAATCAGATTCAAAGTAAGCGAATAAAAGTGATTTGTGGTTTGTAATTATTCCAAATTAATCTATAGAAGCTTGTAAAATTCGAAATACGATATTCCGTTATTTGATCGAAATACGAGATTTACTTTATGGTAAGTGAAGATACGAGTGGTTCTCAAGCAAGTAAATTTAGAGGAAGTTTTGTCTGGCTTTGATAAGATGCTTTCAACCTAGACACATGATGAAAACAATATAGGGATCAGAAAGCCCAATATCAAATTTATCTATATCTATCAAATAAAAAATGTCGGGATATTCTAAAGGAGAAAAGTATCACTGATTTTGGTTGAAATTAAAGCAATTTTGTATGACCAAAGAACTTGACCGATTGCACTTAAAATAATGCTTGTTAATGAACTTTGTCCAATAACTTTTAGCAACTCGGTGACCTTTCTACATTAAAAGTTTAAAAGAAATAATACCGATCCCAGAGAAATGCATTTAAACAAATAAAAACTTTAACTAATCCAGAACTGAAATTTGAACACACAGAAATTTGATGATATGCTTTTTAAATCAATCAATCCACAACATTATCAGCATCAATCTAACCATCACCAAGCAAGAATATAACTCACCAGTAACTCCGGTAAAACCGCACCGTGCTGCAAGTCAAAAATCAAGAAAACCATAATTTAATCATAAAAATTAATCAGATTTTAGTACGAGGGCAGGTGGTTTCTGATCCGATAAGCGAGAATCCATTTGAACAGAGGCTGGTGATGTGTTCCCATGAATCCAGTATTCTTTAGAAGACCCAATTTTCGTAGCTTAAGAATTGAATTTAAAGAAATATGAAGACCCAAAAGATAAGTTCTTGGAGAACTTTTGTGATCGAAAAGGAAACAGATTGTGAATGGGACGAAAATTGAGGTCAGAGTGCAGAAGAAGCTGGAATTGCATCTGTGGCTTCTATGGCTGTTTTTTTGTTGTCACCACTGACCTCAAAAAATGCCATTTCTTTCCTTTACGTCTAACTGCGCAAATAGTTTAATATTTTTCTCATCTTAAAAGTCCAAAAATTTCAAGTGTAGAGTGAAAATAGTTTTTATTTATTAAAAAAAAATATATTTGTTGCCTTTTCTAAGAAATATTTATTGATTTATTCTCATCTTTTATTCAATAATAAATTTCCATTCTTTGGTCAACATTGTTTTTATATTGCTTTTATTTTTTGAAAATTGTGGGTGGAAAAACTGTTTTTGTTTTTAAACCGTCCAATGGTAATTTGCCATGTGGCACAATATAAAGGAAAATATAAAAGATGATGTACATGATTGATTTTTTTTTTTTTTTATACGTCAATAACTAGTCAATTAAAATATAATTTGAATAGTTAAATAATGGAATATTGAAATTCAAAAATTATAAATGCAATCATTATATGCTAAAAGTAAAGAGTGAGTAACTCAGCCCCCGTTTGACCATCATTATTTATGTTATAATTTTTGAAATAATATTTTTTTGAAGAATGTGTAATTGAAAAAGAAGGAATTTTTTTTTTTTTTTTGTGTAATATTATTTTATTAAAGAATGTATGATTGAAAATAAGTGAAAGAACAATGTATTTTAGAAATAACAGTCTCAAGCATCAATTCTTGAGTTTAAAACTGTCAAGTTGAATATCAAGACTTGTTTATCATTATTTATGTTATAATTTTTGAAATAATATTTTTTTGAAGAATGTGTAATTGAAAAAGAAGGAATTTTTTTTTTTTTTTTGTGTAATATTATTTTATTGAAAAATGTGTGGTTAAAAAGAAGAGAGAAAAAAATGTATTATAAATTAATGAGGGCTAGACAAGGCTCAAAATCTATTTTAAAAATTCAAAATGCGTCTTGTATATGAGAGCTTGTCCAATTGAACTAATTTAGGTCAAAATTGATTGACTCTCTCTGCTTCTTGATCTAGGATGAAGTTGCTGGAGGCAATAGATGAATCTTGAAAGACTTCAACATACAATTTGAATAAACAAACATTTGAGTACGAATGTTCTCATCCTAATGTAACAACTAATAGCTTTTTCGGTTGAAATGGAATCGCCGATGTTATCTTTTTCAATTCATCAATCGACAACCTCCTACTTCAAATGATAGATAGAAAACTTTGGAGAGGGAGTATTTTCTCTTAGGTCCAAAAGGAAACTCTTAGTCAAGTTGCTCAATGACTTAGATTGATGCCTATTGGTAAAAGGGAGTTCCATCATTTGAGCACACATGGGTGAGATTTGGAGGCTGGAGGAGGTCAGCGATATAGGCTTCAATCGAGAGAAGACCTTTTGGAGAGAGAGGTCGAAGGTGGAATGGCTGAACGGTGACAGAACTACGAAATGTTTCTACAATAAAGCATCAAGTCGGTGGAAATATTCTGTTTCGACGCTAAAGGATGAGAGCGGGGTGGAAATGATAGGATTGTGAGGGTGGTAAGGGATTATTTTACTCGAATTTTTAGAGTAGTCGGCCCTCAGTACACGAATTGGAGGCGGGGTGGCGGTTTTGATTCCCATCTTTCTGTGTTTGATAGGGATTATCTTGATTGCCTCTTTAGGATGGGGGAAGTTGAGGCAGAGCTAAAGGATATAAAACCGACCAAAGCATTAGGTCCAAACGGCTTTCATTCTTTGTTTTACCATAGGTATTAGGACTTGGTGAGGAATATTGTAGGGGTAGCATGTCTGGCAGTCTTTGTTCGCAAAATTATCCCGTAAGCAGTGTTTTGAAAATCGGATCAGATCGACCGGTTCAACCGGAAATATCGGGAACCGGTCCAAAATCCGGTCCGGTTAAGTGGAAAAACCCATAAACTAAAAAATCGTACAAAAACCCCGTAACCCGGCCGGTTTATAAAGAACTGTTGAACCGGTCCTGGTTTTATAGCATTTAAAAGTTCAATTTTTTTGTATAGAAAAAACCTTACTTTGATTTCTGGTATGGCCCAATAGTGTATTTAATATAGACTTTCCCATCTCTCTTGCCTTTTGAATCTTCCGATGTGGGATAGGTTTCTTCAACCAATTAGGCTTTAAAAGTTAAATTTTAAAGAATTATTTTAATTCAAAATGCCTATAGGACCCACTTTGCTATAATTTACAAATTTTAATAGAATTAATATATTTACGAATTAAATATTGTACAATATTTCAATTTTTATATCTTAAGGGTAAAATTTAGTATTTTACAGATGTACATTAGCTAATTAAATCGGTAAAGGTTTGTTGTATATTTATTTAAACATATATTTTAATTTTTTATGATATAATTAATATAAAAAGTTTATAATTTTGAATCATCGGTTCGACCCTTAAACCCTTGACCCTTTCCTTTTTCCGGTTCGATGCCCGATCCGGTTTTTAAAACATTACCCGTAAGCGTACGAGTCCGTTGTACAAGTAATAGTTGTGATGAGTGAGTTATCCTCCCATAGGGAATAATGTTCAATTCTAGTGTATCCGATATATCTAAATTCGCAATAATAATAAACCTATATTAACCATGAGTCACGAATGATAATATGGCTTTAACTACGATCGATAATATGAAAAAGCATGTATATAAAATCACTCCGCAAGAATTAACTAAAAATCACAAGTCTTGAATTAAAAACTAGAAATCAAATAGTTTAATCATCCCTCCAATACAANATAGTTTCATCATCCATCCAATACAAATAAACTTAGTCTATCATATTAATATGAAAATTACATAGACAATAAATGGAAGTCATCACCCGAATAATGTAAATAGGAAGAAAATCTGGAAATCTTCACTTCAAGCTTTCGAAATCGGATCCCAATGGTGAATTCCTCCTCCCTCAATGTCAATTTTCTCTCCTTTTTTCTCTAAAAATTGGTTGTCCCCAAAAAGTCTCGAAAAATCCCCTTAAATATCCCTACAAAAGTGCCATAAAATATTCCAAAACGAAATAAAAAATTACATTTCTATCCCCATTTTACATTGAGGCACGCGCCTAGTAGAAACTAAGGTGCGCGCCTTGGCGTTTTGCCAAGCCTCAGTCGATGCTTGGGGCGAGAGCGCGCGCCTTAGGGCATTTTTGGGGCCATTTGCAATTTGGCCCCTAACTTTCCATTAACTCTCGTTTTGGCCTCTTTATTTCCAATTCATCTTGTCCACGCTCTTCTCTTCATGTCCAAATGACTCTTTGCACTCTCGACTTTCGTTTCTC